CAGCACTGCATTGAACAACAATGAACGGTCACTGAACGGTGCTAGGGGGGGTGGGCTCGACAAGAAGAAATTTACTGGCGGGGTAACCTAGGAGCGTGCTGGCCTTCTTGTCTCGTCACGATACGCTAGGAGCTCCCACCAGTCCTCCACCCAAGGGAACCGATCTGCCCAAGTCCGAGGACATTCATTTCGAACCCCCATGCTGAAAGCTGGGGGGTCACACATGCACGCGGCAGAAAGGATAATATGCCCCAATGGGCCACACTGTGAACAAGCCCTGTGATCTCGTCTACGGCCTCGTCGCGAGCTACGTGCGGCCGGAGGGATTGGTGAGCCTTGTCTGGTACCCTGTCTGACAAAGATGTAGGGTACGAATGTATGTGGCATAATTAGCGATGACAGAGCAAGCAGCTGGGCGCCGGTCAGCGGTGTAGGTCCCCGGTACTGCAGTTTGCTGTTTTTTGAGTCCCTCGAAAGCTGTCCAGGATGTGGCCGGAACAAGGACTAGGATGACCGCATGCACTGTGGCACACGGCCTGCTTCGCAACGATACTCGATGCTCCCACAAGGGACCTGCCAGTCGAAGACACGTGGGTAAGGGGTGGAGGTGGATGAAGATGAGGCTCCAAGCAACAGAGTTGCCAGCTTAGGAAGGGTCCCCGAGAGCGACACAAGAGAACGAGTGTATCAAGCTGCTGCGTCACCTTGCCTGGTACTCAATGACCAGGATCTATTTTGGTGAGCTTCAGGAAATTTTTCACTGGCGAAGAAGAGCTCGCGCATGGTCAAGCCAGAAGGCGATGAGAGAAGCAACAGAAGACAACAGCAACGACAACAACCAGGAGGCAAGTGGTGGGCAAGCGCAAGGGGGTTAGAGGAGACAACCCACGGACGATGCCCATCTCATCACAGAAGAAATGTGAACAAATAATTCTGATCCCACCCCGGCCCCGTCGCTTCCTGAATTTTGTCGTCGGGAAGTTTCCAACGACGGATGAGATGAGTGGGGAGACGTTCCGAGTTGGACGACTGTAGAGCTTGTACTGTACCATCTCTGGTGGAGGGAACCATTGATTTCTCTCACACTGTGAACCCTGACAGACCCCTACCTACCAGGCAGCTAGGGACCTACCTTAGGCACCCAGGGCTGGTGTGGTGCCGGTCCCACACGAGGTGTCTCTTAGCCAGCCCCCATACCCAGGGTCCCCGCTTGTAGAATGATGCAACCCGCTCGACGGTGCATTCCACCTTGCGCCTGCACGTCAATGGACAGCGGGAGACGGACAGACGAGAAAGACGGCTCTGCCCCGTGGATGGTAGGAAGGTAGCAGCTTTTAGCGCATGCACATGTTCATGGATCATGGCGGCCGGGTCTAGGGCGGCTCGAGGCCCTTCCTTACCTCACCTTACCTATTCCCTCTCCTCCCTGTTACCCCTCTGCACCCCTCGGCGGGCTGTATCAGGCCGCCGGATAGATAATCTGGACGGGACCTCGCGAGCTTCGGCCGAAGCGTTGCCTTGGACCATTCCCCTTTCACTTTTCTGCTGCAACCACCGCGCCAACGCACTGCACCGCACTACGACTCCTCTGTCGACCCTGCAACCTGGGCCTGTATGAAAGCTCTGTCGCATGCGAATATTTCCTCCACTTTACCTACCGCTGGCGACCAGGATTGCTCCATTGCACAATTGACACATCACGCCCATTTGCGCCCTGTCGAAGAACCTCCCCGTCGTCCTTGATCACACGTGGACTCGAGCGAGAGAAACGACGCCTACCTTAGCTAAGGGAGAACAACCCACGTCACTCAGCCTATAGCACCTGCCTTGTCGTCATCGCCGAATCCGTGCTTCCTCCCATACCTCACCTGACCATACCGACCACAGCCTTTTCCTATCTTCCACACAACAGCGATTCTAGGTCATTGCGTGGCAGAGAGATCTCCCGACAGGACACATATAACTAAGAAGAGAGCATTATACCCTGTTCTCGCGGAAGCAAAAGGTAAGCTTGATGTTTACGTGCTCCCCATGGCTGCCCCCCCCCCCCGTCTTGTACTGTGCTCTCTCAAAAAGGGCGCCTACGCCCAACTACGTCAAAGTACCCCCACCTCAAAGCCCCTCATCCCGACAAGCTTGTCACCTCACCTGGACTGGACTCACACTCAACTGCGGCTTGGCCTTCAATTCATCCCACCACCACCCCGCGATTCGCAACAAAAAAGGGGAAAAATTACCAGGACCTGAACCAGCCCCCGAGCGAAGCCCTAGCAACGGATCGCAGCCGCTGTCCCTTGTCATCTATCTCACCCACCCTTTCCTTGTCACACTGGTAGCCTCAACATCCTCGTCCTCGAACCCCGAGCATCAATCGCAAAGCGCGAAAACCCTTTGCTAGTCGATCCTGGTCGAACAAAAGCAGCCAACGCTCATCGCACCCCGGCCCATCGAGACAAGGTAGCTAAAGCAACAGCAACAACAACCACTTAGTGGCGGTAGCCTGCGTCCAGCATATTCCCATTCATCTCGCATCGCAGCGTGCGCGCGCGCATCCACGAGTCCACCGTCCGCAATCCACACGTCTCGCGCCAGCTTTTTGGGCACTCGTGCAGCAACACCAAGGCACTGCATCCAGTCACCGGCCGGCTCTCATACCCCATTCCCACAGGCCTGCACCCAAGCCATCCCCTGGATCCACCTTCCTGAGGAGTCTTGTGTCTTTACATCCCCGTTTGGGTATTCTAATCATTCTTGTTCGTCACAGGTCTCTCTTCCTCCCTCCCAGTGCACACCGTACGCAGTACAGCCTCCCGTCGCTCCTCTTTACCCCCTCCTCCACCCGTGTGTCTCCGTCTTCCAACCGCTGTAAACGACGCCGCCTCCCCCTCCAGCTCAGCCACGGATTATACCCGTGGCCACCCTCATCGAGAAGACGAAACCCCACGATAAGACACCAACGACCACAGCCATCATAATGCCTGCCGCTGAAGTAGCCAACGTATGTGTGCACAGGTTTGCCTTGCTCATCACCATCCATCCAATGGTGTGCCTTCAGTTCACGACTGATTTGTCCTTTTTTTCTCGCACAGAGTGACGATGGGTCTCGTGACGATGCCCCTTCCGACGTTGTCGGTCTCGAGGACCTAGGTGACGCCGTCGACATGGCGACCTTCAATCAGATTCTCGAAATGGACGAACCAGGAGAGTGCGAGTTCAGCCAGTCCATCGTCGAAGGATTTTTCGAGCAGGCGGAGGAGACCATCACGTCGATGAAAGAGGAACTGTGAGTTGTGATCGTGAACCCTTCCTCCCGCCCCTCCCCCCCCCCTCTCCTCTGAACGCGACACTTTCCCTCCAAGTCCTCCGAAACCCCTCAAAACTCCTCTTCCGCCCTGGCTACCCCTTCTCCTGACGCAACCGGCGAGGGCTTCTGGCCCTTTCCCACTTGCTGGTCGATTTTCCCTCGATGCAAATCAGGCCCTGGGTGTTGCAGCTGACCAAGTCTTCTTCGGTGACCAGGGAGAACAAGGAGTTGGAAAAGCTGTCTTCTTTGGGTCATTTCCTCAAGGGCTCTTCGGCCACCCTTGGTCTGGTCAAGGTGCGAGACAACTGCGAAAAGATTCAGCGGTTCGGCAAGAAGGAGAAGGAGGATGGCTCCCCGCTGCCAGACGAGAAGGTGTGCCTCGAAAAAATCGGAGAGACCCTCAAAACTCTCGAGACGGACTACGCCGATGTCGAGCAGGTGCTGAAGCAGTACTTCGAGGGGCGAGCTGCAACAGATTAACAAGCATGCCCTCCCCATCATCTGACGCCGCCCTCTCTAAGTCTCGGACCTTGTCACAAGCACTAGAAACCAAGGCCTTGACGGTATTGAGGCAGAGAGGGCAGTGCCATATTTTCTTGACTGGGTGCCGCTTCCAAGCTTCCGGTTTGGAAGCGTAGTTGTGTCACCCGTCATCGCCGTCATCACCATCATCACCACCGCCACCATCACCACCAACAACAAACAACGTCGTCAGCTCTTCATACCCCCCTTTTCGCGGACGCAAAGCATTTGGACAGGATTCGAACAGCGTTGCATGGCAACTTGCCAGGTCTTTTGCGATAGCTCTCGGACTCAGACGGTCAACAGGACGCGCAAGACTTCTTTTGGGGGAAGGATGCAGCCAGGTTCACTATTGTGGCTAGGTATGCTTCAATGTGCAGTTTGCCACGAGCCGACTCCGCCACGTCCCAAGCAGGTCATTGCAGTCGTTACCGAATAGACCAACACTAGAACTTCACTCGCTTCCCACAACCCCAGGCAACGCATTTCTATTTCCAAGAATATATTTTTTTGTGAAAGCTAGCCTACTTTTTCCAACAACTTGCGCAGGAAACATCATGTATGGACTGACAGCGAGACGGTTAGCACGAGAAACTAAGAGACCTATGCGAAAAGGTTGCTGACGCTTCGGGTACCACCGTATGCTTGAGTAGAGAAGGCCCTCGAACGGAGAGGAGGAATATGTGTCGCCAGGATTGACATCATCTGACCAAAATGGGTGGGGGATCGGCGTCTTGTGCAAGTGTTCATGTTGACTCTATTTTGAAACCCCGCACCAGATCCGGGCAAGCATACTACAGCCTATTGGTGAAGCCAGTGTCGACATTATGGAAAGCTAGACAGATCCGAGCTTCAGATCTGCTGCAAACAATAACAAAACTTCAGTTTCTCGATATGAGCCTGCAGTCCCTAGGTAACTTGATGACTCTTGATTTGATTTACGGTCACGTGCAGGGTCTACCCTACCATAAGTTCTGACCAGTTATTGGTCCTTTGCAATGAGGAGCGTTCCGCAGGGTTAACTTGCCTTTGGCCATTGCACCAAGACTGATGACAATACATTTCACCTCGAATCTCGTCGTCCACTCCAGTAGATTGATTTGCCGTCTTTCGATGGATCCGTTTTGAAAGCACCTCCAAGCACCCCCTTTCGTCCGTCAGACAGTATTTCAACATGCCGCCCCGCCCGAACGCCAAACCGGCTTTTACCCATTTTCTTTGTATTCCCCTAATCACACCAGCCTCGAGATCACAAGTCTCGAGGAGCTTGGCCTCTTTCAAAGCAGATGTCACGGATGCTACCAGCTTCGACATCCCGGAGACCGCAGTCAGGCCCCTCGGCACCCTCCACCTCACACTTGGCATGTTGAGCCTTCCCAGCTACGAGAGCGTCCAAAAAGCGACTGCAGTTCTCCGGGGCCTGAATCCGCCCGCAGCCTTTGCAGACATCAAGTCGCTGTCCACGACTGCGCCTCTCGCGACGCCTGCTCCACCGGCGGATACCAGCGTTGACCAGTTTCCGTTCCTGACTCTGAGGGGCCTGCATTCGATGCAGCGGCCTGAGCAGGCGTCGGTGTTGTATGCTGCACCTGAAGATGATCGAGGGATCCTACTGAGGTTCTGCGAGAGGCTGCGCGATTCCTTCATTGATGCGGGCGTCATGGTGAGGGAAGAGAGGCCCCTGCTTTTGCATGCTACCATCATCAACACGATCTATGTCAAGGGGGGCAGGGATGCGCAGGCAAAACGGGGGAAGAAGCTGACTCTAGACGCGACAGACGTGTTGGCGCGGTATGAGGGATACGTGTGGATGGAAGGTGTGCCTCTGGAGAGGATTGCCATCTGCAAGATGGGAGCGAAGGCGGTGGATGGCGAGGATGGGGCTGCGTACGACGTCGAGGCCGAGGTTGATTTCTAGGTTTGGCACGGCACCTCAGGGGTTGGGGGCAGAGAGAGGTCCATCAGACGTAGCAGAACCCGGAGCTTACTGTGTACCGGAGTACACCTCTTTCTATGCCCGGGGTAGCGTTCTTTCAATGGCGTGGTTCTCTCAAAATGACTAGACGAAGTATTTAACTAGACAGTGCACCCCAAAGAGCCATTTGTTTCTTCTGGCGTACGTCGGCGGCACCGCTTCTCGCTGTGGCACGTTGTACCAAGTAGTTGACGTGAGGCCAAGGTGTGATTCAGACATATTTCCTTAGACAGCATATCAGATGGATACATGCATCACGAGTTCAATGATTGCATAATCTCTCTCTCTATCACGATATCAGATCTCACCCCTCCAGGCAGCCACAGTCAGGTCCCCCTCTTGAGGATCGAAACCGTGCTCCTGACACAGTGCTGATGGACAGCTAGCTAGGTACCTTACCTTAGGTTGCAGTTCTGCAAGACGGGGGGCCAACCCCACGATAGCATCCTTCCCATCGAACCTGTATCCGCCCCCCGATGCGAACTGGAACGCAGCATGCCGAGCCCGCAACACATGGCTCCGCCCCCGCCCCCATGACGAAAGAACGGAAGACGAACCGAATGTCATCTTCGGCTGACAAGCGCCGCAGCGCCGGCCCCGGCTCGCACATCCTCCGCACGGCCTCCACACGCAGCGCCCTCAACCCGGTCGCTGGGAGCACCAAGGAAGGCGCCGTCAACGCGGGCAACGCCGTTGGCAGCAGCAGCAGCAGCAGCAGCAACAACAACAACATCATTGCCCCGCCACCAAGGGCACAGCTCGGCGTGGCGAGCGTCGCGGGAGGGAGTCCCGTCTCGGGAGACGAGGGGCCGAAACCAGGAGACACCGGCGGTGGGGCCGCGACGCAGAAGGAGCGGGAGACACACGGCGGGGCCAGTGGCAGCGGCACTGGTGGCAGCCACACGAAGGAGGCGGACGGGCAGCGCATCGCGCTCCTGGAGACCGAGCTCGCGGTCATGGAGGACGAGTTTGCGCGCGAGCTCGACAGGCTGAGCCGCAAGGAGAGCGAGACGGCAACGTTCTGGCAGGGCCGCGTGGCGCGAGCGGAGGACAGGGCGAGGGCCGCGTGCGGCGAGATGGAGGCGCTGGAGGCGGAGTGCGTCGAGCTGCGGGCTCAGGTCCGAGGGTTGAAGGAGTTCGTGAGCACGAGTACGAGGACGGATGGGCAAAGCGCCACGTCTGACGAGGTTTTTGGGGAAGGGGCCGCACGGCTGGGCAACGGACTGCAGAACTGGGTCATTGTGCATTTCCGCAGGGCCAAGATTGGTGAGTTCTTGCCCTGACCAGTCCTCCAGGCTTGGGGTCGCGTGACTGCTTGACTGACTGGTTGGCGAAGATTTTGGCAAAGCAAGCGAAGACGAGTTGGAGGAGCTGGCAGCCTTAGTCCCGATGTATGAGGAGTTGGCGGCCGCGGCGAAGGTGCACCTCCTCCAGTCGTTCGTGTCTCGCGTCCTGGTCGAGATGGTCTTCGGCGCGTACTTTGTTGGACTGTCCCCGGAGCAGGCTCGGCAGTTCCGCGACGTCGAGGAGACTCTGCGATCTTACAGCAAGTACATTGGCATCTTATAAGGGGCATGGCTGACTGTCTCCTCCCCCAGGTTCCGAAGAAGCCGTCAACCAGTGGCGCTCCACAACGCTGACCTTGCTGCGCCGCGAAGCCGGGGACAAGATGCACAGCGAGACGGACGCCGCTACGGAACGAGTCATTGAGCGCATCAACCGCGTTCTCGACGGCATCACCGACAACAAAACGACCGACGCACGAGATCAGGCCTTGAGGGCACTCATAGTCAGCGCCATTGACCTGGGCCGGCTGTTGGCCGTGCAGAAGGCAGTCTTTGGCGTCTTCATGCCGGAGATCGTGCCGCACCAGCAGACCAAGTTTGACCCTGCAACCATGGAGGACGTCGGCGGTGAAGATGAGGAGACGCTATCCGAGCGGGATATATGCTGCGTCACCTTTCCAGGCATTATGAAGAGGGGCGATGAGACTGGGCGGATGTTGGCATACCGCAACATCATTGCCAAAGCGACGGTGCTGTGCAGTCCTGAATGACCGGCGTCAAGGGATGGAAGCGGGCGTATGAGCATTTACAGCGGCATCATCATAACAGATTACGTATGAGCGAGTGACCACGATGATAGGTGGGCCAAGCGGAAGTCCTGGCAAAGGCGGTAAACTCATCAGATCGTGATATTGCTGGGTATTTACGCCTTCGCCCCAACTTCCAGAGCCTTTGTCCTTCCCAATCCCTCCTTCCCGTAGTAGTCCATCGGATATACCCCCTTGCCCCAATCCTCCTTCACATCCAAGGCGATCAACGCCTCGTACGGCGTCAGCAGGGGTCTCGGGAAGGCATAGCCCCAGTCGATGCTCAACCGTGGACACGCCACCTGCACCCAGCATTCAACGTCAGCCATCATGGCCAGCTTGCCGGGGAAGATCTCGCTCAGCAGCAAGTTGATCCACGGGATCCCTCGCTCCTTCAGCCTTGCCTCGATCAGCGCCATGGTGTGGGGGTTGCCCTGTCGTCCCAGCGAGCCCAGGATGAGACCCCAGCGCTTGGCGCGCTTGGCCGTTTTGATGGCGTCGCGTCTGAGTCCCTGCATCTCGTCGTGGCCGTACGTCTCACGCGTCAGCTTTCGCGAGTAGGGATCGTAGCGGTAAGCGGGGATGGAGGGGTTGTGAATCATGATGCTCTCGAGGTGGAAGCGGCCGTCGCCGAGATACAAGATCATGTCGACGGCGTCGTCGTCTTTGAGGCGGGGCGACGTACAGCCCAGGATCTCGCCCTTGCTGAGCGGCGCAATCTGGGGCACGAGCACGCGGAAGCCGGCCTTCTCAAGGGAGGACTTCACGCCGTGAATAGTGGCATTGAACTGAATGGTGCCCACGACGGCCATGGTCTTGCCCGAGGCAAAGTTGCGCTCCAGAGACGCGAGGAGGTGCTGGGTGTCGATGGAGATGTCGACGAAGACGTACAAGGTCTTGATCTTGGTGACATCAACAGGAATGAGGCAACTGTGGGCGTAGTGCACGAGAAGATCACAGCCCAAGGCGCGGGCCGTGTAGTCATCGATGCAGCATGCGCCGTAGGTAACGTCACCCATGATGAGGGTCTCGATGCCAGGGCAGAACTCGGTAAGAATGTCGGAGATGGTGGTAGCGAAGAGTAGTAGGCCCTCAGGCATCTGTAGGGCAATCTTCTTGGCGCCCGACGTTCGAATACGATGCACAGTCTTGTGGATCTCGAAGCTATAGTTAGAAGGGAGGAGAGCAATGGCGTCGTTGAGGGCGGCATCCTTGAGTATCTCGGGGGGGACCTGATTCAGTAGACGGGGCCCACGCCGGGGCTTGGCCACTTGTATTGACCCCGAGTCTTCGATAGAGGCTTCTGTCGATGAAGCATTCTTCGCTGCAGCCTCCGCGGCTGTCCTGCGACCGACGAACCGCTTCTTGGGTTGCTTGACCACAGGTGCCTCGTCTTCTGCTTGCTGCCGATGACTTTCTTCAATGTCGGCGGCGATGCCAAGATCTGTCAACGCCCGGTCTTCTTCCATGTTGAGACAGAGGCTCCAGTCCAGTTGCGATTAGATCCTGCCAATGATGACAAAATTTCCCGTACTATCCAGGACGGTGAACGGGTGTCGAAGACAAGGGAACGGCACTTATACTGCTGATGAGTCGAGTATGTCGAGATTTGTTGCCCCGCGGCAGTCCGGGCTTTCGTGTATGGCTTAGATAAAAATTTGGAGGGGCATATCAGGCCTCGATATCTGCACGGTCGAGGCATCTGGAATATCGTCATGATGCCATACGTACCCTTGTATCGAGTGGTCAAAAGATCCGATAAGGCAATGTGCGCCAAGACACGATCAGCTCAGCTCTTCATAGCGGCTCGAGCATAGGCCGCTCAAGCGTCAGCACTCCCCAGGGATCCTCTCAGGCTGACAGGGCTGATCCTGCTGCCTCGTGCAAAGTGCCTTACGGCGACCTGTAGTGGGGACAGAGTGCTGAGCCTGAATGCCAGTGGTCAACCTGGGTGGGTGCAGCCTTGCCCCCCCTCCCTCCCTCGTATGTGTCTCGGACGCTTCTTGGCTTGAAGCTCTTGAAGGGACGTCTGCCAGGAACCCGTCCAGCCATCGCCAGGCAGCAGAATAAGAGTGTAGCAACAACTCGCGACGACCTACCCACCTCATTCGTCACCAGACGAGGCCTCCTTGGCCAATTCTTTGACCTGGGACACCTTCCCATCGTGTTCTACCTCATCCTCGTTGTTCCTGATCTCGTACCTCTTCTTCGTCCGCCCTGCGTCGTGCATCCTCGTACCTGCAATAACCCCGCGATTCGCACTACGGCAAACCCCGTCTGGCCTCATCTCTCATCTGGCCTCGTCACGTCGGTCAAACCCAAATCGCAGCATCGACACCACCGACGCGACAAGCCCTGGCCTTCAGATCTTCATCGCGCGACTACAATAACTCGACCGCTCAGACCTCCAGATTATGGTGTGGTCCAGGTAGTCGAATTCGAGCGTTCGGCCTCCGCCATCATGAGTCTCAATCTCCCCATTCGAACGAGCTCCAGCAGTCAGCGAAACCAGGCCAGCAGGAACTACTTTACGAACTATACACCCCCCTCTTCGACCGAGGCCATCAATGGGCCTGTGAGAGAGCCTGCGAGGGAGCTTCTTCCTCCTGCTGACCGTCTCATCGTTGGCGTGGACTTTGGCACCACTTTCTCAGGGTGAGTCTCGCTGTGGGTGCGCGCCCACCCGACCATCCTTCGACGGACATGCTTATGAAGCCGCGTGGCTGCGAGCCCTCGCTAACGTCCATCGCAGAGTCGCCGCGGTCTACACTGGTACCCCCGATGACATTGAGATCATCAAGACGTGGCCAGGAGGCAACGGCATCACCTCCGACAAGGTGCCCACCGAGATCGCCTACACCTTTCCTTCTACTCCAACTTCGCCTTCCGTGTCATCCTCGTCAACTCCCACGCCAGCATCAGGCCCAGGTCAGACGCCAGCATCTCACTCAGGCTCCGGCGGTGAGGGGAACCCGACAATCAAATGGGGTTTCCAATTCCGCCCCGAGGAGTCGCGCCTCCGCTGCATCAAGCTCTTCCTCGATCGGTCCCAGAAGCTTCCCTTCTACGTCTCCCCCCTCGACACGGCCGCCCAGCTGCGCAGCTATGACAAGACTGTCATCGACGCCGTGAGCGACTATCTCACACAGATCTACGCCCACACCATGGACACCCTGACGAGGCGCTATGGCGAGTCCTTCATGGCCTCGACCAAGGTCGACTGGGTGCTCACCTGTCCCGCTGTCTGGTCCGATGCGGCAAAGAACACGACGCTGCAGGCCGCTGAGCGGGCCGGTATGGGCGAGAAGTCCGAGATCCAGATGATCAGCGAGCCTGAAGCGGCTGCAGTCTACACGCTCAAGGCCATCCAGCCGAACCACCTGAATGTGAATGACAATTTTATTGTCTGCGATGCTGGTGGCGGAACCGTCGAGTAAGTCTCTTGCGATGCATGGAAGGTTCAAATCTAACCTGTTCGCAGCCTCATTGCCTACAAGATCATGTCGCTGAACCCGCTTCAGGTCGAGGAGTCGGCTGTCGGAACGGGTGGTCTATGCGGCAGCGCTTTTCTAAATTACAGATTCGAAGAACACGTTCGCAATCGCATTGGACATAGCCGTTTCGATGAGATGAAGGTCAAGAAGGGGAAAACTTGGCAGATGGGACTGCGCTACTTTGAAGAGTTTGTCAAGCGCAACTTCAACGAAGACGAGCACCATGAAGTCAATGTACCGTGAGTGGCGCCCCTCCGACAGAGTTGAGCACTCTCTGATGCATCGCAGCTTCCCCGGTCTCCCCGACGACGAAGAAGCAGGCCTTGATTGCGGCTTCCTCGTTATGACGGCCGAACAGGTCAAGGACATCTTCGAGCCTGTTGTCAAGGAAGTGTGTGACCTCGTCCAGGGCCAGGTTCGCGATCTTCGCTCCAAGGGCGGTATCGTCTCCGGCATCATCCTTGTCGGCGGCTTTGGCCAGAGCGACTATCTCTACCGTCGTCTCAAGACGCATTTCGCGAGCGCCGCCCCGCCTCCCTATACCGAACGCCCGACACACGCCACGGCCACGGCCCTCACCGAGGCCGGCTCCATCGAGGTCATGCAGCCCGTCTACGCCTGGACAGCCGTTGTACGAGGCGCCGTCCTCCGTGGTCTCGAGGGCAGCATGGTCATATCGCGCAAGGCCCGCATGCACTACGGCACCTCGTATGCCACAGTCTATGACGATGAAAAGCACTCCGTCAGCGAGCGCTACTGGTCACCTTTGTGGGAACGCTGGATGGTCTCCGATCGTATGCAGTGGCACATTGCCAAGGGCGAGGCCATCTCGCCCGTGTCTCCTATTGCTTTTCACTACACGCGCAACTTCCGCCCTGGACAGAGCCTCGTTGTCACGGACGATCTCATCGCGTGCGAGGCTGATGAGCCGCCGGTCGCGTACGGGCGGGATCTCGTCAACGTGTGTACACTAACGACGGACCTCAACGCCGTGCCGCGAAGCTTATTCACGAGGCTGACAACGACGAGGGGTGTCGAGTTTGATAATCTCGATTTCACGCTAGAAATGATAGTCGACAGCGCAGGTCTCGGTTTCGAGCTCAAGGTCGATGGCGTCCGATATGGACGTGTAGAGGCAGATTTCCACTGAATGCAAGGGTAGGGAGAGGCGAGGAAGGACCATGTATTCGCTGTTGGAGGGAAGATCTGCTCCGAGACCATGATAGCGTCGTACGTAGGCATTTGATGGAGCTGCCTGGAGGCTTACTGCCTTACTATGATATCATGAATGAGAATATACTGCCTTTTACACTCACCTCAGGCTTCTCGACTGATATGCCGCTGGAAGTCGAATTTTTGCTGTCTCTATCTATCCTGCCTTGGGAAGTTGCTGCACCCTTTCCTCTCTCAGCCTCTTGCAAGGTAAATGGATTTTTGAGCCCTGCTTTGGATGAATGTCTGTGTTAGCAATTCACGGTGGTTTTCATGCACGATGACCTCCTGACAATAGCTCGTCAGTGAGTCGTTTGAAACCCAATCTCTCTTTACAGTGGACGTGGCTTCTCAGCACCTTCACCTTCTCAGATATGGTCCACATGATGGTTTGGTCGAGGCTCGTCCTGGTGACCCTCGTCCGGGTTTTACATTCAGGCTTCGCTGACCATAAAAAGAGGCTCGACTATGACCGTACAGCATGCACCCAGTCATGGACGACTCGGAACAGAACGGCTGAAGAAAGTTAACATGCTGTGATCCGTTCCGGCCAACCACATGTGTGGAAGGCCCTTCAACACAAATTTGAGAAACTGTGGCCCGGCTTCCTGAGAGACAATGTATGGAGAGGCTATGTGATGTATGCACTCCAGATGGCACTGGAGGGAGGCCCACCCACTGCACGTTGGAATTGATGAATGAAGAGTACTGGCCAAGCAAGAGGTAAGTGGACCAACAAAAGATATCACAAAGTCAATTGGCCCTGATGTTTGTGCCAATCCATTTCTCTACTGTTCGAGCTCCTTATCCACTTCGGGAGAGGGTATGTAGCGACTAAATAAGCCAACAGAACTGGCTCGTAGCCAAGCCATCGTTCCAGAGCAAACCTAAGCCATGTTATGCTGGCAACACGGAGAATAAAGCCTGATGTACAAGCCAGCGACTGAACAGCGGGGACGTACACATGCCTGGCCCCCGCGTGGCTGTCGCGGGGGTGGTTCCAGTCTCGTGGGTTGGAGCTGGAATCTGTCAGAGACCTCTTCACGTGATGAGAAGACTGTATTTGCGGGAAAGACCCACAGGTGCAGAACCGCCGGCATACGATCCGCACGCATCCTAGCAGGCTCGCCACAATTGTCCTAAGTTTATCATTGGCCATTTGCAAACGGACGTCGGCCCCACCGAAGCACTAGGCCCCCCACCTTCAGTCGTTCGTGGCCCAGCAACCCAAGCTCCCTCGCTACCTACCTAGGTCGAGGCGGTCAGACTTTTCATCGCCTTTCTGGAAGCGTCCATCAAGGAACGTAATAGACAACGGCACAACAGAATCTCACAATCTCACACATGAAAATTCGCCTGGAACGGTGAATGAAGAAGCATACACAGTTATGCAATGGGCAAGCCGGGACATGGCTGTAGGGAAAGAAGGGGAAGAAAAAATTAACGATTCACTCACTGTAGAATGCACCAGAAGCACGTAGAGACAGCCAAATGATATCACCCAGTCTGAGATTTCAATGAGGGGCTGCTAAGGTTGGGCTGATGACGATGGCGGGGTTTGAACCAGTTCATGTCGAGGTACTTTGATTATGCGTGCAGGAAGGAGGAGATGAATGTACCAGCTGTATAACCCCGCCTGAGCCACCATGATGTCAAGGGAAGCTCGCACTGAGCTTCAGAATCGGTCCACAGGTGCTGAAAGTGTCCAGCATCACCGGGACAATGTCAGAGAATTCCAAAATATCGCCTCAATGTGCTCCGTAGTCTCCGCAATATGACACAAATCCCTGTGACAGTTTTCTGGGCCTAAAATCGGGCAGAAAGAGGGCAGTTTCCTGAAGCTGCTCGAATGCGCATTGGTGGGGCAACCTTGGAAGTAGAAAGAACGCTGTGGAAGGTTGGGCGCTGCACCCGAAACTTTTAAATCCTCGACGCTGCCAACCACTACACGTACCTTCACCACTTTTCATCAACAACACGAGCAACCACTCAACCAACTTCCTCTTTCCTCCATCCCACCTTCCGATTCAGCCTTTTTCTTGTTCCTTGATACCCAACCAACCCTTTCTCTCTACATCCCGCAGATTTTCACAACCGCAGCCATGGCGACTCCTGGCAAGGCCGTCGGTATCGATCTTGGGTAAGCATTTTCACGCAGGTTCCTGCTGTCGTACGAGTCCCTGACGTTAACTTTCTACCACAGTACCACGTTTTCGTGTGTTGCCGTCTACTCCAACGACAAGTGCGATATTATTGCCAACGACCAGGGTAACCGCACCACGCCCTCCATTGTCGCTTTCAACGACACCGAGCGTCTCATCGGAGATGCCGCCAAGAACCAGATGGCCATGAACCCCCACCACACCGTCTTCGACGCCAAGCGCCTGATTGGCCGCAAGTTCCAGGACTCTGAGGTCCAGGCCGACATGAAGCACTTCTCCTTCAAGGTTGTCGAGAAGGCCACTAAGCCTGTCATCGAGGTTGAGTTCAAGGGCGAGACCAAGCAGTTCACTCCCGAGGAGATCTCTGCCATGGTTCTCGTCAAGATGCGTGAGACCGCCGAGGCTTACCTCGGTGGCGCCGTTACCAATGCTGGTATGTAATTCGTAGCACACTACCCTCCACTTCCTCCAGCACAATACTAATATCATGCGCAGTCATCACCGTTCCTGCCTACTTCAACGACTCGCAGCGTCAGGCTACCAAGGACGCCGGTCTCATCGCCGGTCTCAACGTCCTCCGTATCATCAACGAGCCCACCGCCGCTGCCATCGCTTACGGTCTCGACAAGAAGGTCGAGGGTGAGCGCAACGTCCTCATCTTCGATCTCGGTGGTGGTACCTTCGATGTTTCTCTCCTGACCATTGAGGATGGTATCTTCGAGGTCAAGGTAAATAACTTCCCTCATTTTCTTCGCTCATGCACATTATGCTAACAAATGACAGTCCACTGCCGGTGATACTCACCTGGGTGGTGAGGACTTCGACAACCGTCTCGTCACCCACTTCGTCAACGAGTTCAAGCGCAAGCACAAGAAGGACCTGTCCGCCAACGCTCGTGCTCTCCGCCGTCTCCGCACTGCTTGCGAGCGTGCCAAGCGTACCCTCTCTTCCTCCGCCCAGACCTCCATCGAGATTGATTCGCTGTACGAGGGTATCGACTTCTACACCTCCATCACTCGTGCCCGTTTCGAGGAGCTCTGCCAGGATCTCTTCCGCTCCACCATCCAGCCCGTCGACCGCGTCCTGTCCGATGCCAAGATCGACAAGTCCCAGGTCCACGAGATTGTCCTCGTTGGCGGTTCCACTCGTATCCCCCGTGTCCAGAAGCTCATCACCGATTACTTCAACGGAAAGGAGCCCAACAAGTCTATCAACCCCGATGAGGCTGTCGCCTACGGCGCTGCCGTCCAGGCCGCCATTCTCTCTGGTGACACTTCCTCCAAGTCCACTCAGGAGATCCTGCTTCTCGATGTCGCTCCCCTGTCCCTTGGTATTGAGACCGCTGGTGGCATGATGACCAAGCTCATTCCCCGCAACACCACCATTCCTACTAAGAAGTCCGAGGTCTTCTCCACCTTCTCCGACAACCAGCCTGGTGTGCTCATCCAGGTCTACGAGGGTGAGCGCCAGCGTACCAAGGATAACAACCTTCTCGGCAAGTTTGAGCTCACTGGTGTCCCTCCCGCGCCCCGCGGTGTCCCCCAGATTGAGGTTACCTTCGATGTCGATGCCAACGGTATCATCAACATCTCCGCCGTCGAGAAGGGCACTGGCAAGTCCAACAAGATTGTCATCACCAACGACAAGGGCCGCCTGTCCAAGGAGGAGATTGAGCGCATGCTTGCTGAGGCTGAGAAGTACAAGGAGGAGGACGAGGCTGAGGGCAACCGTGTCTCTGCCAAGAACGGCCTTGAGTCTTACGCCTACTCCCTGCGCAACACCCTTAGCGACCCCAAGGTCGAGGAGAAGCTCGACGAGTCTGACAAGACCACCCTCACCGCTGAGATTGACAAGTGCGTCGCTTGGCTCGACGAGAACCAGCAGGCCACCAAGGAGGAGTATGAGGACCGCCAGAAGGAGCTTGAGGGTGTTGCCAACCCCATCATGATGAAGTTCTACGGTGCCGGCGGTGCCCCCGGTGGCATGCCCGGCGGCATGCCCGGTGGCGCCCCTGGCGGCCCCGGCGGCCCTGGCGCCACTCACGACGACGGTCCCACCGTCGAGGAGGTCGACTAAATTGATACCCGAAGTACTTTCATTTCCTAGAGTGGTCACGCGACGGATCTCACGGCACGGACGAAGTTGGGGTTTCATGACTAGACATTGCTTTCTGCGTTTTCACGATTACGACTACGGAAAAGGCACGGTTCTCAGTTTGGTTGTACTTTAATGAATTTCGGTGTTGCCAAATGCAACCCAATACAAGAAGTTAAAACACATGACTATGTCTTTCCGCCGCGTGCATGCTGTGACGATGCCAATAGTGCTATTCGCCTTGTGCAATCCTAGCACTACTCCCAAGTTTCTACGCTTCCACACGCCGTGGTTTGGGCCATCGAAGAAGCAGAGAAGAGACATCCGTGTAGATCATTAAAAGTAGTAAACCTCTGTCGTGAACCAGGCTAATAATTCGCAGCCCCGTCTTGTCCGCTCTCCCAACTAGACCTTAGCACTCTCATCAATTCCCAGCTGCCGTCTAATCTTCCTTCGTCTGTCCATCTCCGCCTGTTGCCATTCTTCGTCACTTACCTTGGCATCTTCTAGTGTCGTAGAGAAAGCCGTCTCAGGCGCGAGTCTTGTCGGTCTCGCCCTCCACACATCCTCACTACTGGGCTTGCCGGCGCCATATTTCTCGTGCTCCTTCTTCCGATAATGCTCTCGGATCGCTTCTTCCTTCAGCTTGCCGGTGTACCCTTTGACACGCATGCAGAACCAGAAGTCATCCCAGCTCTCGCTGCACGAGCGCATTGAGCCCTCGCGGTAAATGGCGTTCCACTGCCCGCCGATCGACTGGCAGTGGAAGGCCATGTCGAACGCCTGGCGACAAGACATTTCTGACGGCAGGAGAGATTCAGCCACGGGGTCGAGCTTGGGGGCTGGCGCTGCGGCATTGCGAGTCTCTACTTGTGATGGCGAGGTTGCTGAAGACTTCAGTGTAAACCAGGAGGAGGACGCTGTCGGCTGTGTGTCGGCCTTCGTTGGTTGCTCGGAAGCTGTTGGCTCTGGCTCCCTTTCCGCCTTGAACAGATCGAGAAATTTCTGAATCTCTGGGTCAACATCGCTGCTGGCAGTGTCCGTGGAGGCTGGAGCTGCCGTTTTCGAGACGCTCGTCGCGTTATCTGTTGTAGGAGTAGGAGTTTTCGGAGGGGATGGTGTTGCCCACAGCCAGCCCATATTGATTGATGGTTGATGTTGGTTATACAGATGCGATAACTTGCGGTGCACTGGATTGTAGAGGAGGCAGGTGTAGCTCCTTGAATACCGAAAGAGGGGTAAATCGTATCTCAGAGTCTCGTGGTCACGAATGTGAACCCTTCAACTGAAGATCACGGATTGGACGACATGACTCTTGGCATGCAGCGCAGATGCACGGGGCGGATTAACTCCGGGACCCGCTTGGAAGCTGTGGTGGGGGCTGCCCGCGACCGTGGGATAGCCGATGACCTCATTCACATGAATGACCCGAGGAGCTAAGCTGATCGCGTTCGCGTTGCTGCCAATTTGCGAGCGTTTCCAGCTCCCCCGGGACATGCATCTTCAACCTCGATCTGTGTGGTATGATGTCCAGCAACCCAATACGAAATGATATCGAGTAGATTTATGGCACGGCCACTGGCCCGGCCCACCATATCGGTTTTGCGACACTCGCAAGTAGTACCTCGATCCCACGTCGCAAGGTTTCCATTGGGAGTACCCAGTGCAACGCCCATAGCACGTGCTTGGGATAGTACTATAACAGGCGAAGAGAAATCTGGCCACATCACCGCGGCTCAGGACGAATCCATTCTTTTTTTTGACAGTCAGTTTATCAGGGTACATCTCGCGAGGCTTCCGACGTTGACAGCGCTTCGCAATAGACCTCTTCCCCCTCAAGCTTAGCTTCCTTTTCCGACGACCATGGCAGAGCGATGAGGATATCGCCGATCTCCTCAAGCGCTTTGACAGTTCAAGCTTGGGTCTGCTTGACCCTATCAATCTCGTCAAGAAGGCCATTCCTCAAGACATACCCATGAAGGTCACGGAGATCCTCCCTCGGTTGAAAGATGGCGGTGTTTTCGTCAAAGTCAGCCATGGACCGGAAGTCTCTGCGCAGGATCTCGAAGGTAGAATGGGCTCTAGCTTGTCGATTAGGCATATGACTGACAGTCCATAGATTCTTTGACGAAGAAACTCGAGGCAACGCCCATCAAGCCCTGGTTCAATCCGTTTCGCGGCGTCAAGTCGGGCCTCGTCAAAGGTGCGCCTTGGTTAGAGGATCTCTACCGCTTCCCGAAGTCAAGACTCAAGGTTGAATTCACACCCAAGGACCCTGGAGGTGAAGCGGTTGAGCTGTCGCAAGAAGAACTATACAGTCTGTTCCGGAAATATGGCAAAATTGCCGAAATCACCTCACAACCCAACGACTCGAAAGTTTTGCCTAAGTTCGCCTACCTCGACTTTGCACTCATCAGGGACGCAATTATGGCCAGGAACTGCTTGCACGGATATCTCGTAGGCGAAGCACTCGGCGGCGGAAAGTCTGGCACCAAGCTGCGTCTCTCGTATGAACAGAAGGTGAAGGCACACAGCATCTGGAATTGGATCTCTAGCCACCCAAGATTGGTGATTCCAATTGTTCTAGGATTGGTCACTGCTGTCACGGTTGCAATTTTTGACCCTATCCGACAGTTCTTTGTCAAGGCGCACATCCAGCGGGCCTTCCGCTTGACTGACAGCAGATTATATCGATGGGTCAAATCACAGACCACAGACCTGCTTTCCTTTGGGCACAAAAAGGCAGACTCCGCTGGATTTAGCGCCGTGTGGAACCACCGCCGAGACCTTATCGAACAAATCCAGAATTGGCTGATGGAAAGCTCCGACACATTCATCGTTGTGCAGGGTCCTCGAGGCTCTGGCAAAAAGGAGCTAGTGTTACAACAGACTCTTGAAGGGCGCAAGAATGTCTTGGTGATCGATTGCAAGCCGATTGTGGAAGCTAGAGGCGAGGGTGGCACAATCAAGAACATGGCTACTGCTGTAGGGTATCGTCCAGTCTTCTCATGGGCAAACAGCATGAGCAGTCTGGTCGATCTGGCTGTACAGAGCACGACTGGAGTGAAATCTGGCTTCTCCGAGACTCTCGAAACCCAGGTTGTCAAGATACTCCACACAGCAGCGTCAGCACTCAAAGACGTTTCCCTTGCAAGTCGACACAAGAACGACAAAGATGCCGACCTTTCAGACGACGCGTACCTCGATGCCCACCCCGAAAAGAGGCCTGTTGTGGTCATTGACAACTTCCTGCACAAGAACGAAGAGTCCAGCATCATCTACGAGAAGATGGCCCAATGGGCTGCTATGCTTGTGCAGAACAACGTGGCTCATGTCATATTCCTCACAAATGACACGTCGTACTCGAAGTCGCTTTCGAGGGTGATGCCTGACAGGGTGTACAGACAGGTTGCCCTCGGTGATCTCTCCCCGGACGTGGCGAAAAAATTTGTCGCGAGCCGTTTGGAGGTCGACGACAACGAGAAGCAAAAGGACAGCGACAGTGAGAAACAAAAGGAGACCCCGCGGTCCGACCTCTCAGAACTCGACGACTGTATAGACCTTCTTGGCGGTCGCCTTACTGATCTCGAGTTCCTAGCCCGGCGAATCAGAGGTGGACAGAGCCCGAAACACGCAGTCGACGACATCATCAACCAAAGTGCGACCGAAATTGTCAAGATGTACTTGCTCGGCGGCAAGGTTGATGCTGAAGAAAGAAAGTGGTCTACTGAGCAAGCATGGTACCTCATCAAGTCGCTTGTTGCACAGCAAAGTCTACGTTACAACGAGGTCTTGTTATCGGATACATTCGCATCCTCGCAAACGTCGAGGGCAGCGAGTGGCGAGTTGGCGCTTGAGAGCCTGACCAACGCCGAGCTCATCACTGTCAAGACGCATTACGGCAGGCCGCAGACCATCACAGCCGGCAAGCCCATGTACCAGGCAGCATTCAAAGTGCTCGCTGACGACCCCGTGTTGAGGGCTAAGATGGATCTTGCTGTCTTGACAGAGATGGCCAAGGTCGAAGCGAAGACGATCGACAAGGTAGAGAACGAACTTGCACTCTTGGGGGCACTTCCCAAGCAGCCAGCACAGGCGGGAGCCCGGGTCGAGTATCTGCTGAACAAGCTCGACAAGAGCCAGAGGAAGATTGACGGATACGATAAGGAGATGGCAGGACTGAAGAAAGTCCTCTCGCAAGAGTTTTGAGACTTTGAGGTGCAACAGAACTCCTTGGAACCCAGACTCGTAAGAAGACGCCACTCAAACAGGTATACCTGGCAGTATTACACGAGGACAGCCAAATATATTCGATACCCTTAGCAAAAACAATATACTCAACTCGAGCTCTTCGGCTTGTCGTGCGAAAGTGACTGAATGACGTCAGGTCTTATCGTAGCCTGGGTGCAGCTAGCCTGCCCCTCGCTAAGCCTCTTCGGGGTATCCAGATAAGGCCGACCAGCACCTTGAGAGTATACTTACTTACCTACCTACCTTACCTGATCCGTGAGAGAACTCAAGAAAGCCAACGATAGCTGAGCAGCTGACTGAGTTCTTGAACAAATATCCACCCGAAGAAGCTGAAAAATCACACTCGTCTGTATGGTCCTGGTGTCGACTAACAGTGGGCCGGCGATGGGCACAGTTCTTGATTGGACATCCTGCTAAAATCCAGTTGTCTGACGTCTTCCGTTCATTCTTGCATGCCTTATGCACTACAGGGACGGTTCTCTTTCTCAGACGTGGCCATCATAGCATATACGCTGCGGGTCATTATTTTTGAACATGGACGCATTTAGACTGTCGGACTATCGATTTACGGACATTGCGTGAGCTGGGACGCTGGAATGCGTCGCGTACTCACCGAACAGTATGTAGTAAGGAGCATCGACAGCAGCTAAAAACTGTAGTACCTGTGGTTCGAAGAAAGACTCCCCCCCCCACCAACCCCGAGGAATCAGTCGAGTATTTCGCGCTGCGCCCGACATTTTCGTGTGGTGAAAGAAATAATCGTGCTGCTGTTCCAGTTGTCGACGTCCCGAGGGGCCATGTCACTCTTGACATTCCAGATGATTGCGTTTTACAGTACTCCCCTCATCGAAACCCTGCCAGAAAGGGCATGTTCCCTCTGGTACAATGAGTGACTGGGGATGGTAGTCACATATCCGTGGCATGTTGGTGTTAGTACATTATGTTTCTCTGGGCCTAGGTTTTTGGAGCGTCGCAACTTGAATAGTGGATAGTCTTGTGCAATACGGAATATACTGGGATTTTTCAAGTCAGATGAAATGCATGTCCTCCTCGGCACGAGGAAGACTGAGGAGAATTGTGATGGCCATGTTGACCGCACCACCTCAAAAGCACAACGTCCCCACATGTCTGGTTAAGACGTCTCAGTGGGGATGAGAAAACCATGGAAGGACAGAGGTAGATCTGTTGACAGCTGGCGCCATCTGATGTTGGTTCTGAACCACGTCTGCCTCAGTGCCACCTACACTGCACGGGCGCCAAAAGGCGGGCAGTTTGTCAGACGATGGACCTAACCGAGTATCCATCGGTCAGGAATTACGCAAGGGCCCACTGTATCGCGACGGATCTGTCTACCGGGCTGCCACTGCCACTGCTGGCACCACTGAAGTTACCTCACCGCGCCTACAGCCACAGTCCGCGCCTGCCTACAGCTTTCTGCTTTTTCCACCAAACCCAAACACCACCCTTCCCCTCCGACCCAACACTGATCGTCCTCCTATCGCGGCAGATTCCTGCAATACGAAGCTGGTCCTGCTGCTACCAGGGTCTTCTTTTTTCATTCGTATCGCATCTGCTTTCTGGCCCTGCCTGCTAGTCCATACGTCGGGCGACTCACAACTCTTCGCGCGACCAGCACTTGCACTGCAGCGCTTCGAGCTTGCTTGTCTGATCCAAGCTCTCAAGCGATCCGGACCACCGATTCGCCCACTCTCCGTTTCTGCAACGACATAGTCCATGACCGGTAGTTGATACATTTTTCCAACGGAGTGCATTTCCCCACGGTCTCTCGTCTCAGATACCCTGACGGCCTACTCCGCATTTCCTTTGACCGCTCGACTACATCTGTTCCTTCCAGGTGATCAGCGAACGAGGCTGCACTCGCGATCACGGGCATTCTTCCTCCCCTCCCACCTCCTCAGCCTTGTCGGCTCATCACGAATCCCCACGCCACACTCGGAGCTGTCCAAGCACTGGACACTCCTCTACTGGAACAAGCTGTCGTCTCCAGAATCACATTGCGGGCTGTAGCGGTGGGGGAGCATTCGTTTAACCTCGCGGCTTGGCCGCCCCATTTCTGAAGATGGGGAAAATCACCAAGACGATGCAGCCGAAGCATGAGGAGACTCTTGTGAGTCAAGTTTGAACAAAATATTGCAGCATGAGCTAACCAGTTTCTAGTCTCCTTGGCTCAAAGACTTTGTGCAGTCGGCTTGCACATTACCACTTCCACTTCTCCCCGACCACATCGCCACCTTCCCGACACGATGGCCGTTCCCGCGGGGCGACCTCTACCACTGGATCCCCCTACTCAACCGGTTCGACAATATTCTCGAGTGCTTCAGTGGCACATACAAGTTGAACGACGGCCCCCAAACCGGTGATCTAGGCTGCGAGGTGTTACTTCATCGAGGCCTCAAAGTGGAAGAGTATGGCACGGAGGCATGGGACATGGACCGCCTGCGCAAGCAGGGCTATGGCGAGCAAGGTGACCGCCAGCTCATCGAGGCCATCCTCAAGTTCACGCGCGTCCTGCTGGAGCATTGCGGTAACAGAAGCATTTACGCCAGCAGCAACCACTTGAACGACCTCCTTCATGCTACAGACCTGTCCGTCATCATCGCAACCCTCGGAGTTGGTTCCGAGCTGGCCAAACGATACCAGGCCTCTGTCAAACGTATCGGAAGTCACTCCCGCCATGTCAGCACTGCACTGCTGGCTAACCACTACAATATTGCCCTCGAGCGTGTACAGCTATTAGCCTCCCCCTTTGTCAAGACACCTCTCATCTCCCTATCCGATGCTGCTGCATCTGCTACACCCGGTTCCGCTGCCAAGGGCAAGGATAAGATCCAAAGTGCCGGGCAGAAGAATGCAGCACCCATGTTTGCCAACGATCTCAGTGCCATCGTCAACTCGGAACCTGGTCAATGGAACGGCTGGGGTGACATCAAGATCTCGTACACTGCCGTCACAGACACTAAAGACCAGCCATTTCCCAGTGCCGTGGATCGCACCTCTGCTGGGACGAACCTGCCAAGCACCCCAACACCTTTGCGGCGAAGTACTACGATGGGTGGTACTGCTCAACAAACCCCGAGGTCGGCCCGGCAAGTACCAGGCGACGAAGCCTCGCCTTCTACCGTGTCTCGCTCTCCGGCTCCAGTAAGCGAGCATGCCACATCCAGCCAGAAGGTGTTTGATCTGCCGCAGTCCGTGGTGGCGTCATCTTCTATCTACGACCTACTTGCCCGCTGCCCTGCCGATGCTCCACCACACACCAGATACGAATATCTCAACAGGGTCAGAATTGCCAAGGCGCTCCTAGGCAGTGTTGAGACTCGCCAGCAGGCTCTAGCCATTCGTCTCCTGGCTGTCACGAACCTGGCATATATCCACCCGGAGAATGTGTTTATGGAAAAGGTCATGCGTCAGGATATCGACGAAACTCGACGATACCAGCTCGTCTATCAGTTGGCCGAAATAATTCACCCAACATCCCCTGGATCGAAACCTGTGCCTCTTTGGGTCCAATCGGTCGCACTCGCTTTATTGGAAGCTATTTCTTACTTCCAGGCTCGCTATCAAGATGTGCTTTCTGCCCTTAATGCCAACGTCAACCACGGCATTCTTTTGTACGTCATTCGCAAGGCAGTCGCGGGCATGAAGGAGGATGAGGTGGCCGACAAGTACAACCAGTCCACCGAGGTCAACGAGTGGCGCAAAGACCTCTTCTCATTGACACAGCACTTGGCCATGTCCACTAGAGTTGGCGCAGAGATGGTCAGCGCTGGCCTGATGGATGTCCTGGTTGAGATCATGAAGACACGATCCAATGTGGCTCAGCGTAATCATGCGACTATTTTGAGTTTCATAGACGGACTCATTTGGTCCTACCAGAACGCTTTCCACGCCTTCTTCAACGGTGATGGCTTGGACGCCATCTCGGAACTTCTTGTCACGTCTGTCAAAGAAGGCACCCAACTTGCTGACGCTGGCCGTGGTACGCAACCTGAGTACCACTCTTCTGTTGTCGACTACAATATCCCGTTCCACCATCAGCAAACGCTTAAGTGGCTGTTGAAGTTTATGCACCACATGATGACCAACTCTTATAGTCTCGGAGGCAACACGGACCGCCTCCTGCGGAACCTCGTGGACAAGTCTGATCTATTGGCCAGTCTGAGGGAGATCATGCAGCATACTACGCAATTCGGCTCTGTTCTGTGGACAAACTCTGTTACTGTTCTCAGCGACTTTATCAATAACGACCCTACAAGCTTCGCAGCCATTGCGGAGTCTCGCATGATCGTAAGCTTCCTCGAATCCGTCACCGGTAGCCCTGTACCCGAGCAGACAGCGGCCCCTCGCGGCAGCGAAGACGCTACCGGTGAAACGGATGACGCGCCTCAGGAAAACAACGATCAGGTTACCCTTGAGCCTGACGACAAGCCTCATCCCCCACCAGAGCAGGAGCTGGCTGCTGGCAGGGACCGCCCCCTCGCGAGAGGGATCTTGACGAGCCCAGACGCCATGCTCGTTGTGCCGCAAGTCCTCAATTCCATTTCCCTCAATAATGTTGGCCTCAGAATGGTCGTATCATCGCGCGCGTTCGAGTCTTACTTCGAGATGTTTGAAAGCCCGAAACACGTCAATTGTCTTGAGGGCGAGCAACACCTCGCCAGCAGTGTGGGTGAAAGCTTTGATGAGCTGTGCCGGCACCATCCAGCTTTGAGAAGTCCTATCTCGGATGCTGTTATTGACATGGTGGCAAGAGTCAGATTCCTCGGCAAAGACAAAGCAGAGACGTCTGGCTGGGGAGCAAAGCTGGTCTTTGACGATGCCAATGGCAACGTCTTGACTGCTGACCAAAACCTTCTCGGTCATCTCTCAGCTCCGCCTGACGATAGCAAAGGCAAGAAAAAGGTCTCCACCGATGACGCGGATGTTGACATGCTGGACGGAGCAGTGACTGCAAAGGAAGAAGACAGCAGTTCAGCGTCCAGCAAGGAAGCCTCGAAGCCAGCTGCGACGGCATTTGATAGTATCACACCTTATGTCCATGCACTTGGCCTCTTCCTCACCACCTACCTTTCCAACAACACCATGAAGACCCATTTCGTCCAGCGCGGAGGCATCGAGCTGCTGCTCGACATTGCCGAATTGCCCAGTCTCCCTTACGACTTCAACGAGTCCAACGCCTCTCGTAAGCTCTTCTCAGTGATCTCTCAGCTCGTTGACCATTCTCCCGTCCTGGGGTTGCCAGCGCTTCTCAAGCGGGCACAGGCGGCACTCGACTCCCTCGAGTCGTTTGCGACTGCCAACGACGGCCGACCGTACTTTGCCCCTTTCGTTTTGTCTGAAAAACCGATGACGCTGGAGGACGCAAACTCATGGGACACGACGACACGAAACAAGATGCTCACAGGAACCAAGGTCGTCAGAGCCCTGCTCAATGCCCAGTCTTTCCTGAAAACGCTATACGAGTGTTTCCCGTCTTCACCGCGCTCCTCGTCTTCGGTGTCGCTCTATCCCATCAACTTCTATGATTACTACCTGCAGTTGATCAAGTCCATTGGGCCTCTTCTACGGGCAGGTCTCACAGAAGAAGGCGCAGTACACAACGTACTGCCCCAGCACTGGTGGGCCAAGAAAGTCGGTGCAATCGACGAAGCCTTGGCAATCATCGGTCGACCCGCGGTGCCAGCGTCTCCGTCCGGCGACGATGACGAGACGTTTTTGCCTGATGACCTACTGGGGAACTTCAGGGCAGAGGCGCTGCCAAACAGTAAGGGCGCTGCGGCTGCACAGCCTAAGCGGCCTACCAAGCAAGAACAAGCCACGGCCCGCTACAAAAACTTCGAAACTTTGCGAGTCGTCCTTCATTCCATGGTTCCGTCGTCGTTCCCGTTCTTCCAGCAACTCGGCAAGGCAATACTGCCTCGTCGAGGCGGGGACACATTTTCGCGACAGCATCATATCGATCTCGCCAAGGGGCTGTCAGCGACCATAATCGATCAGTTGAAGCCCTCGATGGCGGTTGAGGTTGCAACGCCCAAAGACTACCATTACTGGATCATCATGCTTCACACACTCAGCGAGATGCTGATTGACGCGACTCCTAGATCGAGTGACCGATCTGGTTCTCAGATCATCATGCCTGTGTATCTGGCATTTGTTGAGCAGGGCGGTCTGGAGATTCTGACGACCATGGCTCGACGTTTCGCTGATAGAGCAGCCGATCAAAGCAGCGGGACTGAGCCCAGTGCGGCCACCAAGATCTGTTCTTTCGGCCTTAAGAGAGCGCTCGATTTGTTTGCCACTGTTGTCGATGGGAAGACCATGGCAGACTCCGCCGCTCAGTTCGGGCTTATCCCTCGGTCTGCAGGACCCCGGCCAGAGGCACCACTCTCCTACCAAATGGTGCTTGACGCTCGCATGGCCATCTTCCCAGTCGTGCGTGAGATATGGGATTCCGCATTGATGGAGAAGACGCAGCCAGAAACTCTAAGCAGGGTCATCGATATTCTTAAAATTGTGGCTGTCGGGAGCGATGAGTCCGGTCAATCGAGTACCCAGGCGTCTGACGTTTTAAAGAGAGTTCCTAGCGCTTTCAACTGGCGCACACACCAGACCTCGCTCTCTGCCCTCTCTAGAGACTACGACGACGACCTGGCGCGTGAGGCCGTTTACCGAGCCAACGGCAATCAAAACTCCGCCACCGAGTACTGCCGGGCCCATGCAGCCGGCACGGCTGGGTCACGAAACCCTGTACCTACCCAGGATGCTTACTTTGCCCCTCCGCCCGAACCGTCACGTCGATCCAGCCAGCAAGGCGCCCCTCCCAGCTCTGAACCTATGGCTGTTGATGCACCACCCGAGCTAGACAACCTTCTTGGTGACGCTGTGCTCGACGAGCTCGAAGGTCCGTCTTCTGAGGAATCTGATGACGACGACGATGACGACGACGAAGAGAATGATGAAGATGGCGATCGTGCTGGCGAGGGTTCTCAGAAAGCTGGAGGAGCTGATTTGCCCGTACAAGCCAACGAGTCAGCACAGCCGACAACAGATCCTCGTGCAACCGCCAAGAAGGCGCTCGACGATCATCGGGAACAGTTCCGTAAAGAACTCATCTCCAGGTCACTGGACATAGTTCGGGCGCACCCTCATTCAGCTATAGAAGTATCTGAGCTGATTAGTGCCATGGTCTTCCCTCAGGACATCCGTGAGGATGTTGGCGAGACCTTGACCAGCGCGATCACCTCTCTTTCCTTCGACTTCGATGAGGTTGAATCCGACGCCAATGGCTCCACAATCGCCGCGTACGCTCACCTCTTTGCGCTTCTTCTCCGAGACAACGCTTTCCTTACGTGTAACATTGATACATTGAGAGCCAACGTATCCACCTACGTCGGGTTTTTGAAGCTTTCGCCAACACGTGCTAAGGACGACCTGCCTCCTTGGATTCCTTACATTCTTCTCATTGTTGAAATCCTGCTGGCCCATGACGAAAAGCCAATTGAGGCCACATGGAAGGCCCCTACTTCCGAGAACGAAGTTATCAAACCAGCCGTTATCGAGAAGCCGGAGGCTATCCTGTCTGACGCTGAGCAGAGCGACCTGCTAGAACGCATCCTTGACATCTTGCCACGGCTGGGCCAAGAGGACACTCTCGCAATTTCTGTCCTCCGTGTCCTTGTTGTTCTCACTCGCAAGAGGTCTTTGGCACGCACAGTCGGCGAGAAAAAGAACCTCCAAAGACTATTTGTCATGGCAAAGCAGCTTGCCGGCGCCGGCGTGAACCGTCTCAAGGACACCAAGACAGCTGGGTGCATCATGATAATCCTAAGACACGTCGTTGAGGACGAGGAAACCACAAAACAGATTATGCGAGCTGAAGTTCGGAACCTATTCGATAACCCCCAACGAAACCAACGCAACCTCGATGTAACGACCTATCTTCGAAACCTCTCTGCCGTCGCCCTCCGCGCCCCTGACCTTTTCGTTGAGATCACGAATGACATGACAAGATTGACCCGCTGGTCCCCGGTCAGCGAGGGCACCGCACGGGCCCACTACATTGCTCTCAAGGAGACGGAGCCTGAAGCTTCTGTGGCAACGATAACACAGGACCAGAGCGTTGAGCCTACGGTGCAGGCAACCGAGGATTTGTCGCTTCACGACATCAAACAATCTACTGAAGCAGGCGACAAGGAGATGACTGATGCCCCGAAGCCAACGGTCTCGCGCCCGATCATTGAGAACCCCGACGGAGTCGTCCACTTTTTACTCTGCGAGCTATTGAACTACCGAGAGGTCGAGGACAAGGAGCCGATCCAGCCCAAGGATTCGAAAACGTCATCGACTACACTCACCGCGACGAGCTCTGATCCTGCAGCTAAGGAGAACACTGCAGATGCCGGAGCAAGCTCTGATGCTAAGGAGACCAAGGACAGCAAAGACAAGAAGTCCAAGCCTTCATTCAAGGCCGATGAGCATCCTATCTTCATATACCGTTGCTTCCTGCTTAACTGTCTCGCGGAGCTTCTGCAAAGCTATAACAGAGCCAAGGTTGAGTTTATCGACTTCAAACGGAGTGCACCGCTGCAGACAAATACTCCAGTCAAGCCGCGCTCGAGCGTTTTGAACTACCTAATTCATGATCTGCTTTGCCAGGGCGGCCTTGAGAATCCTGATACCCTTGTTGCCAAGAAGAAAATGGCGACCTCGAACCAGGCTCAGCAAGTCCTAGTGGCTCTGATGACCAAAACAGGCGAAAAGGCCATCGATAAGCACCGTGAGCGCTTCGAGTACGACGATGATCCGGATCTTCTCTTCGTCAGGAAATTTGCGTTGGACACTATCCTTAAAGCGTATGAGCGTGCTTCCACGCCCGAGGAGCCCCTCGAGACCCGATACACCAAAATGCAATGCCTTGCTGAATTAATGAATCAAGTCATTGGCGAGAAGGAGCGCGACCCCCCGGGCGCCACGAGAGGCATGGGATCTCCGCAGGCTCGCTCGCAGGCGCAGCTCCGCCGCATGATGTACGAAAAGGGGTACTTGGACAAACTCACTTGGTCTATTGCCGATCTCGATCTGAATCACGTGGGGGTCAAGCGTGCCATTAAGCATGTGCTCCGGGTCCTACGGGTTCTCACCGACACCGCCAAAGAACTCAGTCGCTCCAACGTCATCCCTTCCATGACGCTTCCTGATGTTGCGGACGATGAGATCGCATCTTCGTCGTCCATGTCTGACATAGACGATGACAGGGAAGAGACTCCCGACCTCTATCGGAACTCGGCATTGGGTATGCTCGAGCCCCGTGGCAGCGATGACGAGTCTGAGGACGAAGAAGGTATGGAATCTTCTGCCAAGGCGACTGGAAAACACGGAGCTAACTCATTCGCAGATGACGATGATGATGAAGAGATGTATGACGACGAGTACGGCGACGAGCTCGAGTATGGTGAGGAAGAGATCTCTGATGATGGAGATAACGGCATCAGCGACGATGACGACGAAGAGCTCGGTGAAATGGGTGAGATCGAGGGTCTCCATGGGGACCCTGGAGTCGTCGAAGTTGTAATGGATGACGACGATGATATGGAGGACGATGACGATGAGATGAGTGACGACATGGACTCCCAGGACATGGAGGAAATGGACGATCGCGTCGATATCGCTGAAGAGATTCTCGACGAGGACGGCAATCCTATCGACGACGACGGTGCCTCTGATTGGGAAAGTGAGTCAGACGACGAGGAAGAGGATGATGACGATGAAATCGACTATGGAGCCGAGGTCCAAGACCTCGACGAAGCCCATATGCACGGCCTGGGACCTGAAGAGATCCTTGACAACCTAACGCGTGCTGTTGTCATGGCCCCCGATGGAGAGTTCGACCCCGAGGACATGGATGGACTTGGCGAACACTACATTGAGGATGATCGTGGCGATGAAGACGGTTTGTCATGATCCGACTCCTCCGTGTGGGATATGCTAACCTGGCTCCAGATGACGATGACGAAGACATGGAAGAAGACGAGTACATTTACGATGAGGACTACCCTCGTAGGTCATTTCCGCCATGAAATTGTATTTGAACTAACACAGGCCAGATGATGAAGCCCCCCCAGCTAACGTCCCGAGCCAACTGGGTTGGGATACTCTTGTGGTGGAGCCGTTCCCACATGCACACCATGGACATCGACATCGCCATGCTGGGCACCGCAGTCCATTCCCGCCTGCCATCCTGGCTGGTGGTCCGCGTGACCCGCTCGGAGGCATGTCTCCTGCCACGCTACTGCCTCATATCGATGTCCTCCTCCACGACGTTGAGGCTCTCATGTCGACTTACAATGCTAACGCGAATCCAGATTTCCGCAGCTATTTCTCACGTGGTCCCCGGGCAAACGCGGCACCCAGCAACGCCGACGACGGCATCAACCCCTTGCTGCGTCGAACCAACCAAACTGCGGAGCCTTCACCACGCCCACCTGGAGTGCCTGGTCTGGTCGGCCTGCGTTTCCCCCCGGACGCCTTTGGAATCGGGGCTGGCCGTCATGGCGGCCTCATGGATAGCCCCATGGCAATTTTGAACGATATCGTTGCTTCTTTACCTGTCATGCGACACGGACAACAGTCTGTCCAGCTCTCAATCACACAGAACGGGCGTGGGGAACTTCGAGAATATCACGTTGTCCCCCGTGAGTCAAGAGGCGATGCCCGACGAGATGGAACCTACCATGAGCCCCAGCAAGCCGTTGCTTTCACTCCGGATTCCACCTTCGAGAGATATCAAGAAGAGGCCCGAATGGTGTTTGGAGGATCTCTTTACATCGACAAAGCTCAGCGACTGCTCAAACTCATCTTGTCAAGGCTGATTCCTCCTGCGTTCGAGCATGAGAAGAAAGTCAAAGCCGAGGAAGAAGAGAGGCGACGTGTCCGTGAAGAAGAAAGAAAAAAGCGGGAAGAAGAAGAACGGCGAGTAAGAGAGGCTAAGGAAGCCAAGGAGGCTGAGGAGAAGGCTGAGCGCGAACGAAAGGAAGCCGAGGAGCGCGAGGCACAACAGCGGCTGACGGCTGAAGCGCTGGGTTCCACGGATTCCGACGCGCTCACAGCTGGCGCGGATCCTCAAGCAATGGAAGGCGTTGAATCGCATGGCGCTACTGAGTCGGCAACGGTGCCTCCAGTCAATGTCCCTCGTGTTGTTACAACGATCAGAGGGGAGGAGGTCGATATCACGGAACTTGGCATCGACCCTGAATATCTGGCCGCACTGCCCGAAGAATTCAGAGAGGAGGTCATCGCGCAGACCGTGAGCTCTAGGCGCTCCCAGGCACGCGAGGATGCGGCAGCGGGCGAACAGACCGAGGTCTTCCAAGAGTTCCTGGATGCATTGCCGGAAGAGATGCGCAGCGAGATCGTGCAGCAGGAACGCCAAGAGGTGCGCCGTCGCGAACGAGAAGAGCAACGCCGCCAAGCTGCTGGTGGTGCCGCCGAGCAAGAGATGGATGCTGCAAGCATCTTATTGACCTTCCCGCCTGAGCTGCGCCACGAAGTCTTGTTGGACCAGGGCGAAGACATCATGGATCAATTGCCAGCTGACATGGCTGCCCAAGTCCGACTGAGTCAACGAGCGGGGAACGCCAGAAGCCCTCCTGGTATCGCGCGGAGGCCGGCGCAGCAGCCGACAGAACCTGGACAGGAAGCCGAGACAAAGGTCCAACGCAAGACGGTAGTGCAGATGCTCGACAAGCCTGGAATCGCCACCCTGCTGCGTCTCATGTTCATTTCTCAATACGGATCTATCCGCAATTATCTTTTCAGCGTTCTCGCCGATGTTTGCGAGAACAGGCAGAACAGGCTCGAAGTCATCAGTACCGTTCTCCTCATCCTCCAAGAAGGCAGTACAGACATGGACGCTGTGGAGAGGAGCTTCAGCCAGCTTTCTCTCAAAGCAAAGAAGCCGAAGGATAAGGATGCGGACCCCAAGACTCCACAGGGGCTCAAGAGAACGTTGACATCCCTGACGACTTCTGGCCACGCCCAGACAAACTCTGAGATATCGCCTCTACTGGTCGTTCATCAGTGCCTTGATTTGCTGCAGGACCTCTCAACGAAGAACCCACACATTCCCATGCTCTTCCTTACCGAACACGAAAGCGTTGGGTCCTCACTGAAGCGCATGCTTAGCAGGAAGGGGAAGGCTAAAGATTACAAGGCTCATAAGTACGCCATCAACGCCCTTCTCAGCCTGCTTGACCGCGAGCTCGTCATGGAAAGCTCGGTAGTCATGGCGTACCTGGCAGACTTGCTCAATAAGATCACGGTGCCGCTCGCTACTATCGAGCGCAGACGGCGAGAGGCTGCCGAAAAAGCGACGCTCGCGAACAAGAAGGTTGCCGAGGCGATGATTGCGGTTCAGATGGCAGCCGAGGCAGCCGAGACGACATCGACTGCTGAAGGTACTTCGGCCCAAATTGATGCCAATGATCAGACCATTGGTGCAGTCGTAACCACAGCGAATGCGACGCCAGCCGTTGAGACGTCTACCACCGTAGAGTATGGTGACGCCCAGCAATCAGAGGAAAGCAAAAAGCCCGAGCCGGAGACCTACAAATCGGCGACGGCTGATGATTCCAATCAGAAGAAGGGCAAGCAGATGCAGGTCCCCGTCATTCCACCTCATCACCTTACTCTGGTTGTCAAGATCTTCGTTGCTCGCGAGTGCAGCTCCAAAACCTTCCAGAACACCATCTCTGCCATCAAGAACCTTTCGTCTATTCCGGGGGCCAAGGCAGTCTTCGGTCAAGAATTGGTTCGCCAGGCCAGAGCTCTAAGCGAACGCATCGTGCTCGACCTAGATGAGCTATTGCCGCATATCAAGAAGGCTACGACGGGCACCGAGATTCAAGGAGTTGCGTTGTCCAAGTTTTCGCCGGGCGCATCAGAGCAGAACAAGCTTCTTCGTGTCCTGACTGCTCTGGACCATCTGTTCACTGACCCCAAGAAAAAGTCAGACGCCGATACTGATTCTGTGGTGATGAACATTCAGAAGCAAGACCTCGTGCACTCTCTCTACCACAACTCCACTTTCTCCAGCATGTGGGACAAGCTCAGTGAGTGTCTGAGGGCTATCCATAAGCGCGAGAATATGGTCAATGTCGCAACTATCCTTCTTCCCCTCATCGAGTCTCTTATGGTTGTCTGCAAGAACACAGCCACAGCAGACTCCCCGGCGCAAGCCTCCGAGAAGGAGATGCTCCTCTCAAGCCCTCCTCCCGAGTCCCGCATGGCTGGACTCTTCTTCAACTTCACCGAAGACCACCGCCGAGTTCTCAATGAGCTTGTCAGAAATAACCCCAAGCTCATGTCGGGTACATTCGCTCTTCTCGTTAAGAACCCTAAGGTGCTGGAGTTTGACAACAAACGGAACTACTTCAACCGGAGCGTTCACAGCCGTGCTAGCACGCAGCGGTCTGCTTTCGCGTCCCTGCAGCTTGCGGTTCGACGTGAGCACGTCTTCCATGACTCCTTCCGGTCCCTCTACTTCAAGTCTGGCGATGAGATGAAGTACGGCAAGCTCAATATTCGATTCCATGGTGAAGAGGGCGTCGATGCCGGAGGTGTCACCCGCGAGTGGTTCCAGGTGCTCGCACGGCAGATGTTCGACGCCAACTATGCATTGTTCATTCCTGTGTCCTCGGACCGCACAACTTTCCACCCGAACAAGCTCAGTGGTATCAACGACATGCATCTGATGTACTTCAAGTTTGTGGGCCGCATTATCGGCAAAGCCTTATATGAAGGCCGACTTCTCGATTGCTACTTCAGCCGCGCGGTGTACAAGCGCATCCTTGGCAAGTCCGTTTCTGTCAAAGATATGGAATCGTTTGATCCCGACTACTACAAGTCGCTGGTGTGGATGCTGGAGAACGATATCACCGACATTATTACAGAGACGTTCTCGGTCGAAGACGATGAGTTCGGGGTTACTACGATAGTCGACCTGTGCCCCGACGGCCGCAACATCGCTGTTACTGAAGAGAACAAGAATGACTACGTTCGTTTGGTTGTTGAGCACAAACTGCTGTCCTCGGTCAAAGAACAAATGGAGCACTTTTTGAAGGGCTTCCACGAGATCATCCCGTCGGAGCTCATCCGCATCTTCAACGAACAGGAGCTTGAGCTACTCATCTCCGGTCTGCCCGATATTGACATTGACGACTGGAAGAGCAATACCGAGTACCACAACTACACTCCATCCTCGCAGCAAATTCAGTGGTTCTGGCGTGCCATTCGGTCGTTTGACAAGGAAGAGCTGGCCAAACTCCTGCAATTCGTGACCGGAACGTCCAAAGTCCCTCTCAACGGATTCAAGGAACTTGAGGGTATGAATGGCGTGAGCCGTTTCAACATTCACCGCGACTATGGTAACAAGGAGCGTCTTCCCAGCTCACACACATGCTTCAACCGTAGGTCAACTCCAGGTTTACTGTATCACGTCGATAATGTGGCTAATTGAGTTATAGAACTTGATCTTCCTGAGTACGAGAGTTATGAGACACTCCGTTCTCAGCTCATGAAAGCTATCACAGCTGGCAGCGATTACTTTGGCTTCGCCTAAACTGTTAGGCAAGCATATTTGACTTCGGCGAGCCGAGGAGAAGGCATAGAAAGCATTTGCATGGTTTGCGGATCAGGTCTGAATTACAGGTTCACGGCAAGACATATGGGTTGATTCGCGTGCGACTGAGAGTTCTCTCGGTTGCAGCCTCCATTTCCTCACGTACAGCTCGATGAGACAGATGGGTTTCTTGACCGCGTTGGTTTTTCCCCTCCATTATGAACCGCATTGGATCCCCGGCAAGGTTCGTCAGTGTGAACTGGTCACAGCGGAGTGCAGGCTGCTTGGGCCTTTGCCTCACACTGCAACGGCCATGTGGGCAGCAACACGCGGTACTGTAGAGTAGTAACAATGATATAGTGTTTTTTTCACATGATTCCCTCCCACGTGTATAAATGTGCAACACCATGTACCCAAAGATCTCCAGCAGTCCTGCGAAATGATGCAGATGGACGGACACTTCACAATCACAATGTCTGGCTCTGCGATACCGGTCAATCATTGTGATGCATCGAAGCAGCGCTCCATACACGTGATGCACGTCTTCGAATCACAGTTTGAGTTAGGTAGATGCTTCTTGTAAACTCTCAATGAACAGAACATGAACAAGGTCAGAGATGATCATGTCTTCGTCATTATGCTACCTACCAGCTAATAAAATGGGCCCTGCCAACGTGTCACAACAGCATGGCATGAGTAGACTACTCGCTTGCCTGCCCTGGTACACCAGCCTGGTGCCTGTCCTGACTGGAGAAGCGCTTGGACGACACGCACAAAACAGGGGTTCACAAGGGCTGCCCAGCGTGAAAGAATCATGGGTATTATGCGTCAATGATGCGTTGTTCCATTGTCCCGAATGCCAATCTAGTACATTCGTGTGCCGTTTCGATGATGAACTGCCAATGAGCCACGCCAGGCTTTGTTTCCCCCTTACCACGCCGGATGCAAGAAAAATCAGAAGACCGGAGCATCTCTTTTTCGTTTTCCCAACGCCATAACTTACTTGCGCATGGAGGAAGCGCGGCGCTTGCGAGCGTCGGCCTTCTCGGCCTTCTTCTCGGCGACACGCTTGGCGAGGATCTGAGCGTACTCGTTCTGTAGAAGAGCAAATGGTCAGCATGTGTGGGCGAAAGGGAGGATTTTCATGGTAGTACGTACGGCCTCGTCCTTGACCTTCTCGGACTGGCGGCGCTTGAGCGCAAGGCGGTGGCGCTTGTGCTGGAGGCGCTGGGGGGTGACCAGGCGCTGGATCCTGGGGGCCTTGGTGTAGGCCTTCTTGCCCTCGCCCTTGGGCTGGACCTCGCGGCGGATGACGTACTTGCGGACCTAATCACGGGGGGGAAATCACAGGTTAGCAACCGACATTCTACTCGGTCTTTGTGTCATGTGTGTATAGCCCAGCACGCGGGGATTCTGCTTCTCGTCCGTCTTCCATGGGGAAGGGAACAGAGAGGCCACCCGCGGCCTTCTCTTTCTCACACTCTACCCGGCCTGCGTGAGCAGGACCGGGCAGGCGATGACGAGGTGGCTTTTCGAGGCGGATAGGAGCGCACGTACATCGTCATCCTTGGTGAGGCCGAAGAACTTTCGGATCTTGGTGGCGCGCTTGGGACCAAGGCGCTTGGGGTGAACGACGTCGGTCAGGCCGGGAAGCTCAGCCTCGCCCTGCTTGACGATGGCCAGGGCCAGGACGGAGAGGTCCTGGCCGACGATGCAACCACGGACGGACTTGCGCTTGCGCTCGCCGGTGCGGCGGGGGCGGTAGCAGGAGTGGCCGTCGGAGAGCAGGAGGCGGGTACGGTAGGGGAGCATGACACCCTGCTTCATGGGGAAACCCTGCTTGTCGTTGCCACCGGTGATGCGGAAGATGTAGCCCTTGAACTCGTCACCGAGGGAGTCGGCGGGGACCTCAGCGCCCATCTGCAAGGTTTCGCGTTAGTTTTGTTGTCATGGCTGGATGATTTCCTCGGGGTGAAAATATTCGTTCCAGTCGTGTTGAAACGTCCGAGGCGACGGGTATGTACGTACGCGCTTCTCCATGAAGATGGCGAGCTTGCGCTCATCCTCAATGTCGATGAGCTTCTGGCTGCCGTTGGCAGGGTAGGAGATGTTCAACTGTGAGAAGGATAAAATGTCAGCTCTTGACCGTCCCGCGATAAAAAAAAATGTCAGGGCGAGCGCCAGCAACGTCGAGGCCGATATCCGTATCGCAATCGAGATCGTGATAGAGTACAGACGTTCGCCGTTGTTCTGGAAGCTCAAGTAGAGTCTGTCGTACCTTCATCTTGCCGGCGCTGGGTGGTGCAAGAAATTGGCGTTGATTGTCGAAAGTCGATGGGCGTAACGAAGAGTTCACGAACTACAGGATCCACGTTCGAGGAAAAGTCGAAATGGGGGAACGAAAGAGTGTGCGCGCTAGGGTTTCCGTCCTGCCAATCACATTCGGTTAGCTCCGTGGTCCGGGCAATGGAGAAATTATTCAGCCGTTTGCTCCTTCGACAGCCAATGCACAGACCAAGGGATGTCAATGGTTGATCCAGACCTCAAGCCCCACTGGACGATCTCAGTTTGGCGCCGCCTGCCTTGCCTGACATAAGGCAGACAGGGAGCCATATAGCTTACTTGATCGCACCCATTCGTTTGATACCCGTGGTCAACTCTACGTCGACATATCTTGAGCCTGCTCATCCGTCAGGACGTTCGTGGTGTTCCACCTGTCGAGCGGTAATCCCACTCTTTACACACACTTGCTTCCACAATCATTTCATCAGAGCCCATCAACCATCAGCCAAAATGTCTCAGGTCAAGCTTTACCCCCCCAAGCCGTCACACCAAGCTGCGGACAATCTGCTGCCTCAGACCATACAAACGCCGTCAGGCCTAGCCCTTCTTGAACTTCAAGGTATAATAAATCTGCCTGAGGACGCAGTGGACTCAGACGGCAAGGCCACAAAGAGCATTCCCGTGGGTCGAATCGACTTCCCGGACTACCACCCCGATACCCAGGAGGCTGGCAGCACGGCTTGGATGAAGCGTGTTTACCTATACGTCGGTCCTCACCAGAGACTCACCGGAGAGGTCAAGAAACTTCCCAGAGCAATTGCCATTGTACGAAAAAAGGATGGCGCTAGTACCGGTCCGGATGGGGAAGAGCAACTGGAAGTCGCTGAGATTGTCAAGTACAAACTTGTCTTCTCACACCGCCCAGAGCCTGTCAACACGGAGATCTACTAGACCGAGGACTTCGACGAGCTCACAGCTTCGCAACCCAGGACCGATTCACGAAGCTCTGCGCCGCAATACGGCATCAGTCCTGCATAGTAAGATCGACCAAGCCGTCGAACCCGCAACTCACTGGTGGCTCCCAACCCTGGACTGCCGACCTCATTTCGAGCCTCCTGTAGTCTGAAGGTCCGCATCATGGTTGATGGTGAGGGGACATCAGTTGCATTAGACTATCGCCTTCGGCCCTTCTTGTCAAGGATGTGACGAGGCCTTTTGCATTGCGGATCGCATCTTGTGAGCAAGCTTACGAACACCGTCAAGTGGCATGCCATATCGAGTGTGAGAGCTCGAGCCGACTATCCGATTCTTGACACATCTACAGCATCTTGAAAGGCTCTGAGCACCGCGGACACTCGATCAAGTACCCAGACAACCTACAGAGGAGTAGCACATGGCACAGTGCCAGAGGTTTACAAGAACAAGCAAGTCTGTTGAGGCATGCACAGCTTGCCGATGTTATGTTTAGGAGGACCACCGATCTCTCGTAGGGTCCAGCGGCAGACTCTTGGGCGGTCTTACCAGACCAGGTAGCTCGGTCGTATTGGATGGGCAGTGTGGGCGCAGTCCTCGTCAGCAGCGGCTTATGTTTGCTGAAATGCCGGCACGGTTCCGCAGAGGATCTAACAGCGCGTATTGAGGCCCTGCCTCAACGATCCTTCGAACATCTTCCCGGAAGACTATCAGGTCCCCGGTGCAGACCAGCATAGATTATTCGGCGACGGCCCGTCGGCTATTGAACCGCTACTACTGCCGCCTCAATCTCCGCCATGAAACCGAATTGGGTTATGGTAGCGACAGCGCTCTTGCGGCCGCGTTCCAGAAACTTGGGTCGTAGCTGTCAACACCAGTGTCTGAAGGATGGAACTGCTGCATCCGCGACTCTCGGCGACTGCCTTTGTCTTTCGCTGGCGCTGCCAGCACATTACATGGGATTATCCTTGAGGATCACAAGCATTTAGGAGCGGTCCAATCTCGAACTTCAAAGGCCTCGTAAGCCAAGAGGTCAGGGAACCAAAGCGTAACACTCAACCTGTATGAGACCTCACCTCTAAACCTAGTTCAAACGCCATTTTTTCGGCACACATGACTACCTAACTTTTGAAACAGATACGTCTGTCTTCCTTGTTTGTAAACCTCTGACACTTGCGTTTGCCGTAAATTTTTTGGTTGCCCACAGGAGCACCTCCTGAACCCATTGTGAGGGTTACAGGTCCCGTGGAAAGCATCGTTGTTTAGTGCCCGAAGGTAGCGAAGGTTGCCTCATCGCCACTGAGAACCAACATATGTTTCCTCCTGCTGGACCTAAGGACCTACTTAAGTATGTCCCTCCTCTTCCGGTAGTCTGGGAAGGTTGAATCTTGCAGGAGGCTTGTTTCTTAAGTTCCACATGGATCAAGTAGCAGCGAGGGTCTCAGTTGCTGGGCTCCATAGGAGACAAAATTCATGCAAAGTGTCATGGCAATTGACACGGCAACAAGTCAAGATCAGCCTAGTTCAAAGTAAACGATGCCGAACAGTTTTACTCCGACGTAGGCCAAGATTTTCCCCTATTAATTGACCAACATTGATCCGTGGTCATACTCGAGAATATAGCTGTCTTATCGATCCAGGGGCTCAAGGGGCAGATCGTGGCTCGGGTGTCGCTGACTCAGCACCAAGGCCGATTTCCCCGCGGATGCGATAACCATCATGGAAAGTGGCTCGAAGGAGAGGTGCCTTGCTCTACACCGCGCTGAAGCTCGCCGTCACCAGTGTCCTTCCCTCGCTTGCGAATCCATTCTCATTAAAGCAGTCCAACATGCTCATCAAGGAATCTTACGTCGATGTGGCGACCTCCGCCGACGGCAAGGATGGTTCCATGCGTATGCTTCCCTCGTATCATCTCATCTCACGTCCGTCCCATGGCTAACCGATCACAGGAATCTACGTCTTCCACCCCAGCATCCCTGGATATCCCAACGCGTAGGCCTCCCCGTGAAGGTCAGCAGGCCTAGAAAACTGAAATTTTACAAGCAAATTTCCCGGCGTCTGCCTCTTCTCCGAGATCTACCAAGGTAACACAATCATCACGACCCCTCCAATGGCGGGGTAGGCTGTCCTCCCAGTAACACCGGAGACTGAACCGCTGTCTCACAGTGACCGGCCCCGTCGCGCGCTTCGCCCGCCAAATCGCCGGCCAGGGCTACATCGTCGCCGCGCCGTCCTCCTACCACGACTTCACCGGCCCCGAGGCCCTGGCCTACGACGTCCCCGGCACCGACAAGGGCAACGCCTGGAAGGTTGAAAAGGTCAGACGAACGGACACCCCACGGAGCCCGCATGCCTCTAGCTGCAAGCGAGACTAACAGCCCTCCCCTCCCCTGCAGACCCTCGAGTCTTATGACGAGGACTCCCGCCGCACCGTCGACCACCTCCTCACCCTGCCGACGTGCACCGGCCTCATCGGCAGCACAGGCATGTGTCTCGGCGGCCACCTCGCCGTGCGCGCCGCCGTACGTCCCCTTACCCCCCCTTTTCTCGCATGAGTTCCGTACCAACGCGCACCCGATAGCTCGACCCCCGCATAACGGCCTGCACGTCCTACTTTGCAACCGACATCCACACGCGCACCCTGGGCCCGCACACGGCCGCCAACGCCGCGGCCGACGGCCCCGACGGCAGCGCCCACACGCTCGACCGCCTGCCGCGCCTCGCCCACGCCGAGGTGGCCATGATCTTCGGCGTCAAGGACACGCACGTCCCCGCCGCGGGCCGCGACCTCATCCGCGCCAAGCTCCGCGACGCCGGCGTCACGACGTCGTTTTACGAGTTCGCCTGGGCCCAGCACGCCTTTATCCGCGACGAGCTCAGCAAGGGCCGCTACGACCCGGCCATCACAAAGGTGTGCTTTGAGGTCTTGCTCGAACTATTCGGACGCGTGCTCAAGACGGATCTTGGGCCGAAGGAGAACATTGGCGAGGTGGAGCATGTCTGCTAAGAGAGAGAGAGAGAGAGAGAGAGAGAGAGAGGTGGTCAGGGTGGTGGACAAGTCTCTATAACATCAATCAGGCATCACACTTTTCATGGAGGAAAACACACTACAATAATCAGGTTGGTTCATTCATGATTCTGCATTCTTGTTATGGTGTCTATGTCATTACGGCCCATCTAGGGGCCTCGTCGTAAAACTTCCTGCCGTGGCTCTTCGGTCAATGCCTCTACCGTTGGGGAGCCGGCCCCTGATTCTGTCCCTGGCCCTGGCCCTGACGGCCGTACGGCTGGCTCTGCAGCGGGTGCGGCCTGCTCTCGACCGGGCTCAGGTTGTTGCCAGCCGTGAAGCTGTACGCGGACGAAGGCATCCGGTTCACGCCGGTTGTGTTGTTGTGATATCCGCTTCCATATGCTTCGGTCGAAGACTCCTCGTCATAGGTCCGAAGCCGCGAGGTTGTTGGGGCCAGATGGGCGCCGTGGCCTTCTGGCTGGCGCGAGTCAACCAGGGAGAGGTTTGAAAGACCCTCGCCAGCCTTGCGTCTACCTCCACGCGTGCTAGCGCGCTTCACGAGCTCCGAATGACTGCGATCCATGTCGTTAGAACGGCGGTGATCCTCGGATCGACGTCCTCGGACATCCGAAGGTGTTTGATCGTCGCCCAGTCGGTAGCCCCACTCCTCGCCGTCTGCAGGGTCTCTAACATTAAGTCCCGCCATGGCTTGCCTCTCCTTGGTCGAGTCGGAATCGGCACCAGCGGCGGTCTCCGTCTCGTGCGGAATCAAGCGCGCAGCCTCCTTTTTCTTGGCCGCTTCGTCGCGGGACGCCGCAGCAATCTCATCGGAGACAGAAACAGAGTATGTGGGGTTGGTAGGGCCACCAAGAGCCTCGGCGCCACCGCCAGGCGCGTAGATGGGGACCTTCTTGAGAGACAGGACCAGGGCGCACATGAACTTGGAACGACGGGTGGCGCGAACAATCTCGTTGTGCCAGTTCGACTTGTGCTTGATGACAACATCGAGGGCGAGCTTGTCCAGGTCGCCAACGCTACTGACACCCATGGCAACATCGGGCTGGAAGTCGCGCGAGTTGTCCGAGTGGCGAACAAACGCCTCCATCTCGTGGCGAAGTGTCTCAATGTCCTCAAAGGACGTGTCGTACGAGATGTGAATGGTGATGACCTCCTTCATGGCCTTGCTGCGGGACACATTCTCAATCCACAAATTGTTCAAGACAATGTTGGGAACCTGCCATTGGTCAGTCAAAACTCGAAATACGGTTGCCTCTGGCTGGGCAGAACGAGCGTACCTGTACGACCTGCATCTTGTCGATGCGAGTGAAAACAGTGTACAAAAGAGAGATCTTGTCAACGACCAGCTGCAGCTTCTCCGAGCCCTGAATGTCGACGCGGTCGCCGACATCATAAGGGTGCTTGACGAACAAGAAGATGCAGGAACCGAGGAACTCTTGCGTGGTGACGGCGAAGACGAAAGACAGCGACAAGAGGGCCGTGCCAGCAGTAGCAACAGTCGTAAGGAAGCTGCTCTGGAACCACGCGAGGAAGATAAAGATGACGATGAGGAGGACCACGAACATCAGAACCTTATCGAAAACACGCAGGGCCTGGCCAATGTCTTTCATGCCCTCGGTGATTGCCTTGCGCTCCTTGCTCACTTCGACAATGGAACGAGTCATTTCGTCAAGACTGATGTCGCCATTCATATCCCCGTCAATGGCGTTGAAAGCCTCTTCAGCTTCATCCTTGTACGAGGGGCCGAGGACTTCTTGAACATCTTCGAGGTACAGTGAGTCGTTGCCCTCGCACACGAAAGCCATCCAGATGCGGCGTGCCAGGGCTTCGGAGGACTTGGTCTTCTCGAGGGCCTCAATGACGATGGAGTGGGCCGAGTTGGGGTTGAAGACCTGCTTGCCAGTGATCTCGGACGCAACGTTGCCAAAGGCTGCCGTCACCTTGTCGCCGACACGACCAATGTTGCCGACAAACTTGAGGGGCACAGCGGCTCCGCCAACTTTCTTGCCAGTCTGGGCGAGGATCGAGTCGGAGATGATGTCGTCGTCCTCCTCAAACTCGGCGCAGTACATGGGGAAGAGGGTGCGAGAGGCGTCGTACAGCAGGCCGAGGAGGTGCACCTCGCGCTTGCAGGCCTTGATGCGAAGGGCGAAGGACCGCTGGTGATAGGAGATACCAATCAGCTGGACAATGGCCTTCTCGGCAAGGTAGACGGCGGCAGATGAGAACAGGGCGCCGAGAATGGTCACGATGACCTTAACCCAGTGGACGTTGTTGAAGCCGCCGAACAGTCCGCGAAAGGTGAGCCAGGAGGCGAGCGCCCAGAAGAAGAAGGACATGGGAATCTGGAGGTTCTGTAGGACCGTAGCATACTTGCGCGTGCCCGTGCTGACGACACCGACGACGAACATGAAGACGCGCGGAAGGAGCCAGGCGACGACCTTGCCAGCCCACAAGGTGAGCCACGCAATCTCGATCCACAGGAAGAGACGGAAGAGCGCAGGGCCGGGGGTTCTGTTGCCATCGCCGTCCTTGCTGCTCCTGCCCACAGGAAGGTCATTCCTGTGGCCTGTGATGGGGAGGACAACCAGAGGAATGGCGAGAAGAATACCGATGGGGATAATGTAGACGAGGTAGCGGGTAACGACTGAGGCGCCAATGATCTTCTTGTAGAGTCGGCCCATGGCGTTGAGCGAAACTTCTTCGGAGCCACCTGTATCGTTTCTCGAGAGCGCCTTGCCCTTGCGGCGACCGGCGCGGCCCCGGGCATGCAGCTGCTGTTTCTCGTCGGGTGTTTCTTGGCCAGAACCGGAGCCGTCCATGGCGATGTTCATGTTGGGGCGGCGAGCGCCTGTGGAGCTGGCATGGCTCTTCACCTGCGTGAGAGGAATGCCTTGATCCTGCACCATTTCTTTGGAATGGCTGCGCCGAATGGGGATGAAGCCGCTGTGTCGGGGGGAGAGGGTCATCGAGGCAGCCCCGGCGGCAATGGTCGGAGGCGTTACTAGGCTTTTAGTTGGGGAGGAAAGAGAGCAAGGGCGCGGACCCTGAGGAGTGAATGACGATGCTCGGCAGGTGAGTAGCTTGGACGAGGGGATCCGGATCCACACCTCTGTGTTGTTGGGAGAGAGTTGCTGGGTATCGAAACGTCCGTTCGAGTGCACACGAGACGAGATGGCGTCCCAACGTCAAACGTCGAAAAGAGAAGTCGGGGCGAGAAGACCCTAGGTGAGCGAGTCCAATGACGACGAGGCCAATTCCAAGTAACGACTGACTGGCGAGGGGACTTGGTCTTCGTCAAATTGCGGTCGAGGGAATTGGGGGGGAAGAAACAAGGAAATAGTAAATAAGAGGAATAGGAGGAATAGGAAGGAGGGCTGAGAGGGAATTGACAGAAGCGAGCGTGTGAGGCGGCGGATCAGCAAGGCATTTCAAGGAACGTGGAAATCGACAATCTGAAGCACCTCACAAGCCGGCTGCAAGACGAGGATGACGATCGGTAGGGGTCCGCTGGAGCACGACTGCCAGTTCCGTCTACAGTACGCCAGCGATCAGGGGACACAGTCTGGACACGGTCTGGTGGATCCACAGTGAAGGGCCTTCGGTGGGGTCCTCGGCCTGCAGGGGGCGCGCCACGGTTGCCACTGTCTAGCGTTTTCCTTGGTTCGTGCCTGCTTCGTGTCTCCGTGGGCATCCCTTCCCACGCCTACCCACTGCGTCTACCCACGGCATCGACCCACCGGCAAGGCGTGCCAGGCGGCTGGCGGCCACCGGCTTTCAGGGGCGTGAGACAGCTAACGGGCAACAGCCAGGCGGCCGCCTGTTCCTTGTTTCATGCTCGAGGAACCACAGAACTACAGAGGGCCCAGTCAGCGAATCATCGCCTGGCCCTGGGAGGCACTGGGAAGGGTTCCGCACCACCAGCACCATCCCCAGTCCCACCAAGCAAGCAATCCATGTACACATCAATCTCCATTTCCACTGCTGCTCTCGACACACTCGACTCGTCCATGCCGTACCGGCTTTTGTCCGACGCCCTCGCCCACGCTTCAAGCAAGGCGACGCGTACTCCCGTACCCAAGCAAGATACCCGACCACTTGGCTTGCCCCGTCTTGGTTTGCTTTCGAACGGCCTGGCCATTCCAGCCAGCCAGCCAGCCAGCCAGCCAACCAGCCAACCGCCATGACAAACTTTGACCGCCAACGAAATCCGCATTGGGGACCAGGCCTCCTGGTTCGCCCGCCGCGCGCTTACATACTCGCCGTTTCTCCTGGCATGATTCCATCGCTGGCCTGCACACACGGAGGCTGAAAAAGGTGTTCAATGGACCACAACGACACAGACTACCAAGCACATGGCGCATGTAGACTGAGAAGGGGGGGAAAAAACAAGGGCTGTGAGCCAGCCACAGTGTGTTTGCGCGAGTCACCGCACCCTGTTTTTCTTTCGATTCTGCTCCAGCGTGCCCGTCAACCCGGATCGTCGCCCCAACCTGGCTAGGCAAAGTTGCAGCGGGCTTCCCACCACTGCTACGTCCCTACCAAGATTTCAACCCTCCAGCGGACCTGGAGGATATGAGCTTAAGCGAGGCTCCCTGCGCTGATCATCTCGTACCAGACACCAGCAACGTAATGCTCCAAAATAAATCGAGAACGGCAATCGCACAAATCGAGCATCGCCCTATTTCAATACGAGCAGAGAGAGTCGCCGTGCGGTGCTGCTCCTTCTGCGACGCCAAGCGACCGTCCAAATTCCATGTCTCCATTCCGTCTTACACGGACTCCTTAACGACCATGTGAACAAACAAGGAGGGCGGCGCCCCGTCCTTGCGTAGGTTGGACGAAACATCCGTAGCCCAGGCGGCAGCCGAACGCCTGGACGCTTCCACGCAACGTCAAAAAGCGAGCCAGGCTCTCTACCTCAGACCACCGTCGATGGTCAGTGTGCAAGGGCGCCAGCATAACCTGGTGCCTCAATG